AAAAAAAAAAAAGCCTATTGAATAGGGACTTGGATAAATACATTTTCCCTCAAAAAGAGTATTTTCTGGATATTCTACACTGGTTATAAGAGGGCAACTCTAGATTTCTATTTGCTCTCCTGTGTGCTGGTGAAAAGTCCATTGTGTTAAGTCTTGAATTAAAATGTTATATAACTGGAAAGAGACTAGATGAACAAAAGAAAAAATCAGTATTGAACTCAAAGAGATAATAATGTTCTAGCTGACAGCCTGGTGACTCGAAGGCTGAGGAGAGAAGGCACAGACGTTAAGACCACTGGAACAACTGTAGGTTGGCCCCCCTTGCTGAGTCTGTGAGCCCATCTTTCCAGCAGGAAGTGGCTCCTGAGTCTGGTCTGGCCAACACAGAGGGGGCACCCGGGGCTCTGTCACACTGCCGTCGCCACTACTGCAGTACGACAACTCATGCAGTGGTTCTGACAGAATGAAGAACACGTTTGGTTTTTTTTTTTATGTCTTTGACTGAAAATAGTAAAAAAAAAAAGTAGCAAGAATTTATGAGTTTTCTGCGTAGATCTGTAATAAAAGTTAGCCAGAAGAGGAAAAATAAACCATTAACCAAAGAAGCACAAGGACACAAATGACAGTGATGAGAAGAGGAAACACTTCACTTGTATAATAAAAGCAGGACACAGATATTTCCCTCTTTTGTGATGAAGACATGTAATTAAAAACAATGTAAATTTTGGCAGAGTATTTTTATTAGTAGCTATTCTCACCCAATGTTGGCAAGTGTTGGGGAGAACCCTCGTTCGTGCCACTTTAGCATATAATTCCTAAACATTTCACAAGTCAGTTTCTGGAAATCTCCTGTTCTTCCTGATTTCCCCTTTCGTTGTTTATGAGTATTCTACCAGGGGTTCTAGGATGACAAAACCCGTTTGGCTGCCACAGGTTACCACAATAGGAGAGCTCCTTGGTCACATGAAAGACCAAACCCTGATTAGGAGCTTGGAATTTTCAGCCCCTTCTCTCTCCCTCCAGAGAGGGAAGAGGGGTTGAAGATAGAATTAATAATTGATCATGCCTATCCGAGGAAGCCTCCAAAAAAATCTCAACTGTATGGGGTCCAGAGAGCTTCCAAGTGGGTGAACACATCCACATAAGGGGAGGTTGATGCACCTCAGCTCTACAGGGACAGACGCTTAGGACCCTCTTGACCTCGCACTATGTATCTCTTCATCTGGCTGTTTATCTGTATCCTTTATGATATCCTTTGACTGGTAAATGTAAATAAATGTTTTCCTGAGTTCCATGAGCTGTTCTATCAAATTAATCAAACCCAAGGAGGGCATCATGGGAACCTAAGATTTATAGCCCTTGGGTCAGAAGCACAGGTGACACCCTAATTCTTTAACACGAAAACTTTAAACACATTTACAGATATAAATGTAGCATGATATCATGTGATATCACCAGTCACTGGCCTATATGTGTAAGCAATGGTGGTATTTCTAATGAAAACAAGGCAACTTTGAAATATTAAACTTAGAAACAGTGTAGTTGTCTCAGAGACTGAATTTTAGAAAATCCATCCACAGGAAACATCTATTATTTTATGGAAATTATCAAATTTTAGAAATACAAATTTTGTATTTCTTATAACAATACAAGTGTTCTTTACTTACACATTTATAACAAGATCTAGCAGCAGCTCTAACTACTGTAATTGAGAAACAGTGAAGAGACGTTACTCTGGGACATACTCAACCATTTTAATGCAGTCTGAAGACATCTGTTTCCTCCTGGTAGCAAAATCATAGCCACCGTCAACACCGCTGTGGCCTATACCTACACTAGTGTTTTAACAGCTTTACTGAGGGTAGCTGATGTAACATAAGGTGTATAACTTGATGAATTCTGACCTGTGTATAAAGGCATAAAGCTACCACTGTGATTAAGATGGAAACATACTTGTTACTTGCCCCCTGCCCCCGTTTCCTCACGCCCTGTGCAATCCACCTGTTCCTCTCTGCCCCTCCCATCCCAGGTAACTACTGAGCTGCTCTAGGCCACTCCAGGTTCATCTGCATTTTCTAGAGCTGTATAGAAATGAAACTGCAGTCTGTACTCTTGTGTCTGGCCACTTTTATTCAGTGTAATTACTTTGAGATCCATCAAGTTGTTGTATGTATTAATAGTTGATTTCTTTTTGATTTAATGGCTGTGCTACAGCTTTTAACCTATTCGCCTAATGACAGCCATGTGGGCCACTCTCAGGTTTTGGTCATTACAGATGAAGCTGCTGTGAACATGGCATCATGTAAGTCTTGTGTGGACATCTGCTTTCCTTTCTCTTAGGTACAGACCTAGGAGCTGAATGGGTCATTATGGCTGGAGACTTTCCTTTAAATGCAGGTGACTATCTCTTAATAATAAATAATGTATTTAATTAAATACAAATTTGGGGGTGAAGTAATAGAATGGGCGGAAACCTTCACTTGTTTCATCACAAAAGTCCCCCAGGTGTACATAAAAGGACAAAGCAGGAAAAACAGCAATATTTTAGTATACGCTTAAAGGTTTTCCATGTGTGTGGTGTAAGACAAGTACTGGGTGGAGATGAATAAGCTAAGATTCTCTCAGTATTATTACTTGCCTTCCAATTTCTTACAGTGTTGCCCTAAGTACCCGTGGTATTAATAGTAATAGCACCTTAACTGATGGGGTAACTGAAAAACCAGAAAACATCATACATTATTTCATTTAACCTTCCAAGGTATTAAGGAAACAAGCATAACAATGTTTGGAAACAGAAGACTGAAAGGTAGACTACTGAGGAAAATAAAAAATAGGGACAGAAAGACGCTAAATTATAAAATCAAAGGAAAGATTACATTAAAACTAGGTACATGACACATTCCTGATTTTTAGTCCAGTGCTATTTATCTGAAATTAATAAAGTTTAGGAAAAAAGGAACCCAACAATATATACAGAACTGGTGTTAAAAATTCCCACAAAGAATGTTTGCTTCTGTGTGCCTACCTATATGCATGCGCACACACAGGAAGGTCTGATGTGACACACGCAAGGTCACGTGAGTGAGGTCTGTGAGGAAGCCGAGGGACTGGAGCTGTGCTAACGCAACGGTTACCAGCCATATGTGCTCATTTAAGTTCCAATTAATTGAAATGGAATAAAATGAAATGCCCAGTTCCTCAGCCACCCCAGCCACAAATTCAAGTGCTCAACAGCCACGTGTGACTAGTGGCTACTGTACTGGACAGAGCAGATACGGAACCTTTGAACCATNGCCGGCAACAGCGTAGGCTGCAGCCCCTGCTGCAGTGGGTTGCCATGGGCTACCGTGTGTAGCCAGCAGCCAGCGTGAGCAGCCAGCAGCCGCCGTGAGCAGCCATCCAGAATCTGGCGACTGATCTGCCTTGCCTGGGAAGAGCGCAAGGATGGTGCCAACTTGGGCCAGTGAAGCAACGTCCTCCACAACTAGAATAAAGAACAAAAGGAGAGCAACTTGTCTGTTCCCCTTCCCCCAATTCCCCAGCGCTGTTCCCATTCCCCAATTCCCCAATAAAAATCTTAAAAAAAAAAAAAGAGCGATTAGGTTGAGTTTTGGAGATTTTACAAGTTGAAGATGGAAGACCAAACTGCATTTTTGCCATATTTTACTGTTTTATTTCCATAAAGGGAAGAACGTGTGTCAAGCTTGTGAAAAGTTGCATAAAGTTTACGGGACAATGCTCTACAGGAACTTCAGTGTCAACAATGGTTCATGAAATTCCGTGCTGGTGATTTTGATCTCAACGATGCTCCTTGGTCAGGTAGGCCCACCGAGGTTGATGACAACAAAATAAAGGCATTGATCGAGTCAAACCCAGGTTACACGACACAAGAGATTGCAGAAACATTGAACGTCCATCATTCAAGCGTTCACGACCACCTGAAGAAGCTGGGATGCGTAAGCAAGCTCAATATTTGGGTTCCACATGAACTCAAAGTAGTTCATTTGACAGTACGTATAAACATCTGCAATATGCTCATTCAACGTGAGAAAAACGGTCCTTTTTTGAAGAGACTGATAACTGGTGATGAGAAGTGGATTGTTTACAACAATGTGGTGTGCAAACAGTCTTGGTCCCAATGTGATGATTCGCCTCAAACAACATCGAAAGCAGACATTCATCACAGGAAAGTTATGCTCTCAGTGTGGTGGAATTTTAAAGGTGTCGTGTTTTTCGAGCTCCTACCAAGGAACCAAACAATCAATTCGAATGTGTACTGTTGGCAATTGGACAGTCTGAATGAATCCATCATCCAAAAACGTCCAGAGCTTGTTAATTGTAAGGGAGTTGTGTTCCATCGTGACAATGCGAGACCACACACGTTTGATCACCTGTCAAAAATTACTGGAGCTTGGATGGGATGTGTTGCCACGCCCACCATACTCGCCTGACCTTGCGCCATCAGACTTCCACTTGTTTAGCTCTCTTCAAAACTCCTTGCGTGGTATAACGTTCAATTCAGATGAGGCTGTAAATCAGCACCGTGTTCAGTTTTTTGCAAATAAAGACAGGTCCTTCTATAAACGAGGAATTATGAAGCTCACTGAAAGATGGCAAAAGGTTATCAAACAAAACGCGCAATACATCATTGACTGATCTTTGTTCTTATTTTTTTAAGATTTTTATTGGGGAATTGGGGGAGGGGAACAGAGCTGGGGAATCAGGGGAAGGGGAACAGACAAGTTGCTGTCGTTTTGTTCTTCAGTCTAGTTGTGAAGGACGTCGCTTCACTGGTCCATATTGGTATTATCATTGCGCTCTTCCCGGCTAAGGCAGTCGCTCNTGAGATGGAACACTAAGCTTTACTTCCCACCATACAATGCTTGCCCAGAATCGCTACCATGGACTCACCTGCAGAGGCTCACTGTGAGGGTTGTGTATGTTGATTATAGGTGAGAAACTGCCATTCACAGGGACTCTGGCCCCAAGGAACGGCCTCAGTCGGTAAGGATTTGGAACTCCAACACCAAATACCTGTTTGAAAGAAGAACAATGAGCAATTTGAGTTGCTTTTATAACTTTTTAATAGTTATAACTGATTGATTTGGGGAACACTGGTGAGTCTTATTTAGAAGAAAAAAATCTTAACTCCCTTTAAAAAGAATATATGTGCAGTTTCTGTATCTGATTTGGCTGCATATTTGATATATATATGTATGTACATATATGCACATTTGGAATGATTTCTATTGTACACTGGAAATTAAAATGATAGCAGTGCTTCATGAAGTCATGGGATAGACAAGAGGAGAAAATAGAGAACCAAAATATTTCCGGCTCCAATTCCTGGAACATGGATCTAGGGCTCAGATGATCTCCCAAATACAAAGCCCAGCCCCACGGCACTCCCACACAGGAGGGAAGGCGCTGGGTTGGCCACACAAGGTGGGTAGTCCCCTGAACGACAAACATTTACTAAGTGCCTGTGATGTGCTCGGTACAAACACACACAGGAGTGAACAAGTGATGGTGAACAAGGCAGACAGTGTGCCCGCTCTCATGCAACGTACGTTCTAGTACGAGGGGCAGACTAGATAACAACAACAACAAAAAGGGTTTCATGAAGTGGGAAATATGATACAGAGTAACTGCTAGGAGGGAGGATGGAATGATCTTTTAGAGAGGGTGGTCAAGGTAGTCTTCTCTGGGATGGTGACATGAGCTTCTCTGGGGAGGTGACATGAGCTGTTGCCACCTGAAAGATGGATGCAGGCAAGGGGACGTGTACAGGCAAATGGCTTGCTTGAAGACCAGGAAGATGAGGAGCACAGTCACGTGAGAGGAGGTCGGAGATCCAATGGGGGTCGGGTCTCAGACCCTTGTTGGTCTACTCTTGGTCAGGAGTTTACATTTTATTCGAGGAGCAATGGGGAAACATAGGAACTTACATGGGGAAGCTGACTAGATCTGATTCATGTTCCAAAGAGATCACTCTGACTACAAAGTGAATGATGGACTGTGGGGGGATTGGAGGAGAGTGAAAGGCCAGTTAGAAGGCCACTGTGTTAATCCAGTGACAGGTGATGACAGCTTAGAGGACAGCAGTGGCAGCGGACAGGAGAGAGAGGCAGACCTGAGATACACTTAGGGGGAAGGCTGCTGGGACTGAGGCTCACTGTGAGAACAGCCTGACCACAACCCTCAGGCAGTCCAGACTGGCTATGACCACCTAGGTCACTGGGGTGCCTCTGTAGAGCAAAGGTCTTCACATGCTTAGGACAATCTTCACATACTCAACAAGTGTAGGTTAAGTGAGTGTCACCACACAGCGCCAGAGTTAGCCATCTATACAGGTCTTCCAAAGGTTACCAATGGCTACTAAACAGCCATTAAAGACCTATTCACATTAAATAAGCACAAGATATGCTTATGACTAAAATGGAATGTTTACTCTGACACTAATTTTCAAAGTACAGGAAGTGTTCTAGGCAATGGAGAAGGACTGTTCAAAAACAAAAGTACGAAAACTATAAAGTAAGACATTTAGACAGTTGAGTTCCATGGGCACAGAGCACAGTGGTTAACAGGGTGGTCTCCACTTACAAAGACATGGGTTTGAATACCTGCTCCTTAACCTACTGGTAGCATGATTTGGGCAAATTATTTAACCTTTCTAAGTTTCACCTTCCTTTCTAAAAGACTGGTAATAACAGTATCTACAACACAGGCAGAAGTGCATGTAAAATATGGAGAATAGTGCCACAAACCATTATTCATAATAATCTTGATAACCTTGATTATGAAAAATCTTTATTCGCAAAACAGTAACTTTCTTTAATAACCTAAACAATAACTGTACATAAAAATAAGTTTATCAAAAAACTTTAAACAATATATTCACTCAGAAAAGCAGACATGTACGTTTTAATCTTGAAACTATTGGGTTGTCAGAAAAGTCACGATGTATTTTTGTTTTTCATTCCAAAAATGCGTCATGACTTTTCCGACAACCCAATATTATTGAGTATGTTTTACAAGTGTCCAAAAAGTTTAAAAAATTGAGTCAGTGTGAAAATGTTTTTTTACTATTCTTTTGCCAATCAATCTTACATAACACTTTAGCTGTGGGTTTAACATCATTTGCTCAGTCTAATTTGAATAGGGATATCGACAGATACAACAGTAGGTGCAAAAATGCTCTAAGTCTAAACTCTTACATTTTTTTATTATTCCTGAGTTTTTGAAGAGAGTTCTTAAAAGGTCAGGGATATGATAGGTCCGGGATAATGACTGTTTTTACAAAATAAACGGTTTAATTCTGGTTCTTACCTGGTAGGTAAATACCCCATGATTAGATGTGTTAATAAATAAAGTATTTTCTACATTTCCTACTACTCTTGCAAGAAAAACTACATCGAATGATGTATTTCCTCCTGGAAGAATTTTCTGAAAAAAAGCAATAAAGAAAGTTAAATAAGTAACCAAAAAAATAAAATCATGCTGACCACAATTAGACAGCTAAAGTTCTCTGAAACAAACAGCTTAGAATCATTTCAATAAACTAGCTTTTCCCTCCTAAAGGATTAAGTTTTAAATCCGCCAAACTATCTTGCAATGGGAAATAATAAAAAGATGTCTTCACATTGGATGTTTACCGTCATGTGTCTTTGTCAATCACCAACCTAAAACCACACCTGGGCTCCCAGGATTCTGCTCCTTCAACAATCGCTGCGCTGGAGTGAAGTGCCTAATTACAGGCTGTTTGACCATCACACACTCAAGCAGGAGTGGCTGAAGCTGAACCTTCTACACGTATGTACTATGCTACTGAGCAGCAACTGACTGTTCCAAAGAGAAATAAGCCCATACCTCAACCCCTTAACCCCTGTCACTTATTCATGCAAGGCACAAAATGCACAAGCAACTTACATTAGGAAAGAAGGCAGGGGTGACAGTATGTGCAAGAACTCACTCTTGTTATGTTGTGCAAACTGAGAATGTCAGTGTAGTTAGCAAAATAAAATTCTACTGCAACAAAACTGTTGCTTGAGAGTTCGAGAACTGCTCGAGAGTTCAAGAGACTGCAATTTGCAGTTCTGTCTGCAATGAATCCTTCAAATGCATTTCATATGTAAAGTCATAAACCGCTCTCATTCTGCCTTTATGGCTGTAACTCTAAAACAGCCCCCAAAGTGTAGCTCAAAATACATGGCATTGAGACTCTGCCTTCACCTTAGGATGTAGAAAGCTGGAAAGAGCATTTCTCCTGCATTATCAACAACAAAATAAGTTTTCTTGAACCCAGCACTAAGTTTGTGTATCAACGAGCCCCAAATCTAGGGTGAGATAAGCATCTCCAAGGAGAGATGGGCTGTGAGTACTGGCTCACCCACAGCAGAGAATCGGAAGATGAGGCTACCACACAGGACAGTAAAATGAATTCAGCTAAAACTCTGAAACACTGCTAAAGGCCGAGTGTGTGTTAAAATGCGAGGACAGTCTCGGAAGCTGTAGATACTGCATGTGGGTCACACCTGAGCCAAAAATCAGTGATAGGGACATATATGGTAAATCCCTGAGTAGTTTGAAATGAAACCCCACCTTCTAAAGAACCCATTGCTTAAAGAAGTAGTCACAGGGAAATTATAAAATACTTTGAATCAACTGGAAATGAAAACACAACATATCAAAATTTGTTGGCTGCAACTGAAGCACTGCTTGGAGGAAAATTCACAGTATTTCATGCTTATTTTGAAAACAGATGTCTCAAATCAATAACCTATGTTTCCACCTTAAAAAACCACAAAGGGTAAATTAAACCCAAAATACACGTTTCCACCTTAAAAAACCACAAAGGGTAAATTAAACCCAAAATACACAAAAGGAAGAAAATAACACAAAAGAGCAGAAATGAAATACAAAACAGAAAAAATAGAGAAAAATCAATAGAACCAAAAGTTAATGCTTCAAAAAGGTCCATAAAACTTATAAAACCCTAGATAGAATGACCGAGAATAAACAGGAAGACAAAAATATACGAAATTGAAATGTGGACATTATATGCCCTTTACACGTAAAAAGGATGACAAAGGAATATTACAAATAACTCTATGCCCATAAATTTAATAACTAGAAGAAATGGACACTTCTCTAAAAACCACAATCTGCCAGACCTCACTCAACACAAAATAGATAACCATAACAGTCCTCATCCTTTAAAGAAATTTGTAGTTAAAAAAATCTTCCCATAGGGGCTGGGCCGAGTGGCTCGCTGGTTAGGAGTTTGCTTGGGACGCCAGAGGGCCCCGGTTCGGATCCCACATGAGAGCCAGTGACACCGCCCTCTACAGCTATGATGCTGAACAACAGCTCAACTTGGAGCTGGGCTACCTTGAGTCGCTGGTAGGCTGCAACCCCTGCTGCAGTGGGTTGCCATGGGCTACCGTGTGTAGCCAGCAGCCAGCTGAGCGGCCAGCAAGCAGCCTGAGACTGATCTGCCTCGCCCGGAAAGAGCGCAATGATGGTGCCAACTTGGGCCAGTGAAGCACGTCCTCCACAACTAGACTGAAGAACAAAACAACAGCAATTTGTTTGTTCCCCTTCCCCCAATTCCCCAATAAAAATGTTAAAAAAAAAAAAGAGAAGGTAAATAATAGGGCAAATATCACTGATGAACACAGATGTAAAAACTGTCAACAAAATATTAGCAAACCAAATTCAGCAATACATTAAAAAGGTCATACATCATGATCAAGTGGGATTTATCCTAGGAATGCAGGTTGGTGCAATATCCACAAATCAATCAATGTGACACACCACATAAACAAAACGAAGGATAAAAATCATATGATCATATATCTCAATATATGCAGAAAAAGCATTTGAAAAAATTCTGCATCCATTTGTGATAAAAACTCTCAACAAACTGGGAATAGAGGGAACATACTTGAAAATAATAAAAGCCATATATGACAAACTCACAGCTAACATCACACTCAACAGTAAAAAGCTAAGGTTTTTCTCTAAGATCAGGAACAAGACAAGGATGTTCACTCTCACCACTTTTATTCAACATAGTATAGGAAGTCCTAGCCACAGCATTCAGACAAGAAAAAGACATAAAGGGCATCCAAACCGGGAAGGAAGAGGTAAAACTGTCATTATTTGCAGATGACATGATACTATGTATAGATAAAGACTCCACCAAAAAACTATTAGAACTAATAAGTGAATTTGGTAAAGTTATAGGATAGAAAATTAATATACAGAAATCTGACACATTTCTATACTAATATGATCAAAAGGAGAAACTGAGAAAACAATTCCATTTACATGTATATCAAAAAGAATAAAATACCCAGGAATAAAATAAACAAATGACGTAAAATACCTGTACTCAGAAAACTGTAAGACACTGATTAAAGAAACTGAAGGAGACACAAATAAATGGATGGGTATACTGTGCTCATGCATTGGAAGAATATTGTTAAAATGTTGGGGCCGGCCGAGTGGTGCGATGGTTAAGAACTGGCTTGGGACGCCAGAGGGCCCCGGTTCGGATCCCACATATGAGGGCCAGTGACACTGCCCTCCACAGCTAAGAAGCTGAGCTACAGCTTGACCTGGAGCTGGGCTGCCGAGAGTCACCGGCGACGGCGCAGGCTGCAGCTCCTGTGGCAGTGGGTTGCCATGGGCTACCGTATGTAGCCAGCAGCCAGCGTGAGCGGCCACCAACCGCAGTGAGCGGCCGTCCAGAAGACGGCGACTGATCTGCCTCGCCCGGGAAGAGCGCAATGATAGTGCCAACTTGGGCCAGTGAAGCAACGTCCTCCACAACTAGACTGAAGAACAAAAGTACAGCAACTTGTCTGTTTCCCTTCCCCCAATTCCCCAGCAGTGTTCCCCTTCCCCCAATTCCCCAGCACTGTTCCCATCCCCCCAATTTCCCAATAAAAATCTTAAAAAAAAAAAATGTCTATTCTACCCAAAGTGATCTACATATTTAATATAATCCCTATCAAAATACCAGCGGCATTTTTCAATGAACTGGAATAAAGAAACCTAAAATTTATATGGAACCACAAGAGATCCCAAATAGCCAAAGCAATACTGAGAAAGAAGAACAAAGTTGGAGGTATCACGCTACTTGATATCAAACTATACTACAAGGCTATAGTAATCAAAACAGCATTGCACTGGCATAAAAACAGACACATAGATAAATGGCACAGAATAGAAAGCCCAGAAATAAACCCATGTCTACATGATGAATTAACCTATGACAAAGGAGGCAAGAATATACAATGGGGCAAAGATAGTCTTCAATAAATGGTGTTGGGAAACCTGGACAGATAAGATGCAAAAAATTGAAACTGGACTACCTTCTTACACCATATACACGAATGAATTAAAAATGGATTAAATACTTAAATGTAAGACTCAAAACCATAAAACTCCTAGAAGAAAACATAGACAGTAAACTCTGACATTTCTCTTAGTAATATATTATTTGATATGTCTCCTCAGGAGAGGGAAACAAAAAATAAGCAAAATAGGACTACAAACTAAAAAGTTTTTGCAGAGCAAAGGAAACCATCAACAAAACAAAAGGGCAACCTACTGAATGGGACAGGATATTTGCAAATGATATATCCAATAAGGGGTTAATATCCAAAATATACAAAGAACTCACACAACTTAAAATATACAAAGAACTCATATAACACAACATCAAAAAAACAAAACAAATCCCGCCCCCCCCACCCCCACAAAGCCAAAACCACCAAATAATCCAATTAACAAATGGGCAGAGGACCTGAACAGACATTTCTCCAAAGAGGACATACCGATGGCCAACAGATTTATGAAAAGATGCTCAACGTCACTAATCATCAGGGAAATGCAAATAAAAACCGTAATAAGATTATCACCTCACACCTGTCAGAATGGCATCATCAATAAATAAAAAACAACAAGTGGTCCAGCCAAGTGGCTCAGTTGGTTGAGTTAACTTAAGAGCGCGAGCTCTGAGCAACAGGGCCGCCGGTTTGATTCCCACCATGGGCCAGTGACTTGTGCCTGAGCTGAGCTGTTGCTAAGCAGACAACAGGTGGCAGGATGGCTCAGCTGGTGTAACAACAAGACTGCCTGTTCGATGGTGGGCTATGCCCACCCACAACTAAGACTGAACTTGGCACCTTGAGCTGAGCTGCCACCTGGAACTCAGTGAACAGAGCATGCGTTCTTAACAACAAGGCTGCTGGTTCGACTCCTGCATGGGATGGTGGCTACGCCCACCCGCAACTAAGATTGAATACAGCACTTTGAGCTTAGAGGCCACAAGCTGCCGACGGGCAGCAAGATGGCAACTGGTGCCCTCCACAACTAAGACTGAAGAAGAACAACTTGGCTGGTCCCCTTCCCCAATTCCCCAACACTGTTCCCCTCTCCCAATTCCCCAATATAAATCTTAAATAAAAAACAAACAAACAAGTGTTGTTGAGGATGGGGAGAAAAGGGAATCCTCGTGCACTGTTGGTGGGATTGCAAATTGGTGCAGCTGCTATGGAAAACAGTGTGGAGGTTTCTCAAAAAAAAAAAAAAAACCCCGCAAAAAATACCCCCCAAAACCTAAAAAACCAGAACTACCTTATGACCCAGAAATTCTACTTCTGGGTATTTTTCCAAATAAATCCAAAACACTAATTCAAAAAGATATATGCATCCCTATGTTCAGTGCTGCATTATTTACAATAGTCAAGATATGGAAGCAACCTAGGTGTCCATTGATAGGTGAATGGATAAAGAGATGTGGTGTGTATGTGTGTATACAAACTCTTACATATAAACACAATGAAGTACTATTCAGCCATAAAAGAAAAATCTTGCCATTGGTGACAACATAAATGAATGTAGAGGGTATTATGCTAAGTGAAATAAGTCAGTCAGAGAAACACAAATACCGCATGATTTCACTTATATGTAGAATCTGAAAAACAAAACAAACAAAACACAAACAAACTCATAGATACAGAAAACAAATTGATGGTTGTTTGATGGGAGTGTTACCGGCCAAGTGAGTAGCCCTCCTCCCACCCCCACTACTGAGAAACTTTTACGTTTTCTTTCCTATAGAAATGTGAAGTATAGAAATGTTAAGTCTCCTCCCTAGTTTCTTAGTTCCTTAGCTCTTGGCTTTGGTTACTTCTCTAACCAGTTTGTGAATCCTAAACTAAAGACACCCCCCCGCCCCCCGCTTCTTAATTGCTTTGTAAATCAGTTTCTGAATCCTAAACGGTAGATTGTAGAGCTGACAGATTTATTAAAATCTATTTTCCCTCATTCAAGGGTCTTAGGGATACAGATGATACCCCAGCCAGATTGCCAGTCACAAACAAAGCCAACACGGTCTTCCAGGTGGAGCTCAAGACCCCTTCCTCTCATCTGAGATCAGATAGGGTGAGAGTTCCATGAATCCCCCAATAGGCAAGAACAACTCTACGTCCCTGCCCAACAGGAAGCAGAGACAGAAGAGACCTCCTGTCCCTCAACTTATCATAGAGATTTTATGGGAATCACGTCTCTCAAGGGGAAAACAAGGCAGGCAGTTAGAGGAAGGCATTGGGTCTCTGCATTCCTGCATGTCCCATAGAATGTGGCAGCCTGGGTGACCTCCCCTCTCCACCCAAAACTTCTTTTCATTGTAACTATCTACCCCTAAAACAAATGGATACAAAATATCCAACTAGATCAGACCAGTCACTCGCACCTGCGTAGTACCACTTGTCAATTACCGATGCCAATCAAGTGGCCCCACGCCCATAGGGGAACAGCCCATTCTAGAGAAAGGGGATAAAAACTCCAAGTCCTGGGAAGTCCGCCCTTTTGGACGCCTTCCCCCCTTTTGACTGCTTTTCCCCTTTTTGACTGCTTCTTCCCTTTTTGAACTCCTTCCTCCCTTTTTTGAGCCTTTTGAGCCTCGCCTTTGTGCGTGGCCCGTCAAAACTCTTTGGAATGTAATTTCTCTTCTAATAATGGGCCCTTGAGCCATTCTCTACTGCTTGGGCCTACTTCTACTTCTTTGAAATGTGCTATCTCTTCGAATAAACTTTTTCTTCAGTTACGTTACTCTGGCATCTCGTTCAATTCTTTGCTCGAGTTGCCAAGGACCTGGACTTTGCGCTGACAAAGGCCCACTCCCCGACAACAGGAGGAGGGGTGGGAGACTGGGTGAATAAGGTGAAGGGATTAAGAAGTACAAACTTCCAGTTATAAAAACAGCCATGAGGATATAAAGTATAGCATAGGGAATATAGTCGATAATAATGGGTATATCTATGTATAGTGTCAGACAGGCAGTACACTTATCTTGGTGAACATTTTGTGAAGTATATAAATGTCTAATCACTATGTTGTATACCTGAAACTAATATAATATGGTATGTCAAGGATAATTAAAAATAAATTTAAAAAAGGATTTTTTTCTATGAGTACCACAAAAAATTAAAATTTTTATTATCAAGGGGGCCGGCCGAGTGGCTCATTGGTTAAGAGTTGGCTTGGGAGCGCGAGCTCTGAGCAGCAGGGCTGCTGGTTCGGATCCCACATGGGCCAGTGACGCTGCGCCCTCTACAGCTAAGATGGTGAACAACAGCTCGACCTGGAGCTGGGCTGCCGTGAGTCGCCGGCAATGGCATAGGCTGCAGTGGGGCTACTGTGAACAGCCGGCCGCTGGCATGAGCTGCCGTGAGCCACCGTCCAATAGCCGGCGACTGATCTGCCTCAGCCAGGAAGAGCAAATGATCACAATACCAACATGGGCCAGTGAAGCGGCATCCTCCACAACCAGATTCAAGAACCAAAGAACAGCAACTTGTCTGTTCCCCTTCCCCGATTCTCCAATGAAATCTTAAAAAATATTTTTATTATCAAAATTAATATGTTGACACATATATATACATATAAAATACCTGGGGCCGGCTGAGTGGCATGTTGGTTAAGAGTTGGCTTGGGACGCCAGCTCTGAGCAGCAGGGCCCTGGTTTGGATCCCACATGAGGGCCAGTGATGCTGCGCTCTCTATAGCTAAGATGGTGAACAACAGCTCGACCTGGA